GGTACGACCGAACTAAATTTAAAAAATTAAAAAGTTAATTTTTTATTAAGAAAAATAGAACTAAAACTAAAAAAAAAAAAAAAGTAAAAAAAAATTGTCTATTTAATTAAAAATTTGAAAAACTGTAAGTGCATTTTTTAAAAATATTTTTTGTTACTAATTTAATTATTAAAAAAAAATACTAAAAAATTAAAAACGTCGGCTAACTTTAGTATCATTTTAACATACAATTGATAATTATTTGTTTTCAAACACAAAATTATTTTTTTCAAGTAAATATTTTTTTCCTTAAATATTAATTTAAAAAAAAAATCTTTAATAATTTTGCTGTTAGAATATTCGCAATTAAAAAAATTAAATGTCAACTATTTGAAATACGTCATACAAATAAGTAAAAATGTAGTAATTTATGTTATCACTTACTTAATTTGAACAAATTCCTTAATAATTTATTCCCTTATAGTTTATTAAGCTTAATTGTTGTTAAACAAATTCAATGATACTCGAATCAATCACATGCGTTTGTGCGTATAGAAAAATCAAGTTTGGAGGTTATGTTGAAGTATTTTTTTTTTTTTTTCTAATCAGCTCAGCTGGATAACTTGCAAGCTACACAACCGGCTATAGATAAAATTCAAACGTCAGATTTATTCTGTCACTTTTATTGTTTACATTTCTAATTCTTAGAATATTTGAAGACTACTATAATTAATAAAAATAGAAATTGATAAAATAATTTTTATTATTTAAAAAGTGCAAATAAATAAAAGAAAAAAAAGTAAACGGCTTAAAGATATTAAATATTTTATTTTTTTTTTTTTTTTAAATATAATAAATTCAAGTTCGTCTAAACAATTTAAGTAATCTTGAATAAATTAATAATAATCATTTAGCTGGACTTTTTAACTGGATTATTTTAGTACTCCTTTGCATAGTACATATCTTGATATGTATCTAATTTAAGAAAATAAAGGTAAAAGACCCAGTTACTTATACCGGTCCTAGTTATTGGTACTTGCAATTTTATTCCAAAAACAAAATAAAAATGAATTTAGCAGATACTTAATAATTTTAAGAATTATTGTGAGGAAAAAATTATAGCAAAAAAAATCGACAAGTATAAATTTAAAAAATTAAAAAATGCAATTTTTAAAAAATATTTTTTTGGAACAAAAATTTGTTAAAAATAATTAAAAAATGGTCAAGTGACAGCTAACTAATGTGATAAAAAAAATATTTTCAAAGAACCAATTATCTTAAAATTTATGTATTAATTTGGCAGTTGAGTAGACTAATGATAAATCTTATAATTATTACAATTTTATTCATTTCAGAATTTCAGTGTCCACTTACTTTGCTATTATAATAATAACTCTTTCCAAATATTTTCATCACAATCAATCACACCTTACTTGCATTATACAGCTGTTGTTTTGGTCTCTTTGAGATAATTTAACTTAATTTTTATTGATAGTAATTTATATTTTTTGAATTTTGTATTTTAAAAATGAGTCATAAATGATCCAAAAAAAAAAAAAATTGTGGAAATATTAATTGACACAAACATCACATTAAATTAAAAATATAAAATGAAAATCTGATTCTTGACTCTTATAGCATTAGTTAGACGATTATACTTCTTAGTCATCATTATAAGTACTGTAAAGTGTCAGAAATAATATTAATATTAGTAATGTGGATTTGCAGACTCAATTTAAATTAAAATACATGATTTTTATTTGAAGCAAGATGCGAAAAAAATAAAATGAAAAATCCGACAGATGGTTGACCTCAATAAACATAATAATCCTACAGATTTCTTATTGTCACAGATACTTCTTCTGAACTAACGATTTAGAAAATATATTAATACTACAATTTTTTTAATTCACGGAAGCTCGTATTAATGTAGCAATAACTAATGACAATTATTAAATAAAAAAATATCCTAAAGGAAAGCTTATTACTCGAGTCTACGAGAAGGGTTAATGACACTTTTTAGCTTGCTAATTAACTTTTATTCAAAAGAAGTATATTAATTTTCTATATAATTAAATTAAATTAATAAAAAATCTTAACATATATTTTTTTTTTTATTTATTTATTGTTTCCTCCTCATGTATTCTAGATGCAATCAACCCTTTTATATTCATAATCATTAATCAATAGTACCATATATAAAATGTATCAAAATTTTACTTCACTTTTTTCCATGATATTTTTCGTAAATGTGCCTTTATTTATTCAAATGTCGAGACAATTTTCGTTAATTATAAATCATATTTGAAATAGTACATGCAATTTTTATATAAAAAAAAATTATATATACGTCAAAGAAAATAATTATTGAAGCCGTTCGATTCAATAACTAACAATAATTATAAATTAATAATGACATTTGAATATTTATTTAAAAGAAAGTCTTATATATACACAATTGACAATTATTCGGATATATATATATATCGCATTTGAAATCTATTTTTTTTTTTTAATTTTATTGCGTATTTTAATATTTAATTGCAAAATTTTTAATTAAATTGTTTCTATTGTATTAAAGGCTATTTTTAATAAATGCATTTCGTCTGTAAAAAATTACTCCACTATAAAAAGGTGCATTCAAAAATATACTATCGATGTACATTGGTTTGTAGAGTTTAGTTTTTTCGTTTTTGAAAAAGTCATATCAAGACAAAATTTTTATAAAAAAATTTTTGTATAAAAAGATTTGATTTGTTTTTTTTTTTTTTTAATTTAATCAATTAAGTTGCGCTTAATTTCATTCCAAAAGGTTACGATAAAATCGTAAAAAAAAAATTAAGTACAATTAAAAAATAAAAATATCTATTTTTTAATACAAGTTCTTACCTCATATAATTAAATGCATTGGTACATTAGATTGTTTAAGAAAAACAATATGTTGGAAAAAATGTTTGATGAAAAAAAAAAAAGTAATTTACGCACGTAAGACCTTTTAAAATGAAACTAATTTTCAAATAAATTTTTATTTTTTAATAATTTGATTGATAATATTAATTATTTTTGAATACGGTTGATGCTTTCATACATACGCGTAATAAAATAATATAAACATTAATGTCTTAATTACTACTTAAGATGGTTATTTTCATTCTTTAGATAATAATAATAATATTATAATAATAAAAATAAAAATAATTATAATTATAATAAAAATAATAATAATATAATATAATATAATAATTATGGGGGAATCAGCTCCCTCGAATTTATCAAATTGTCTTTTTCCATTAATCACTCCCTACAATTGTTTTATCCTCAAATCATTCTAACTTTTAATTAATTATTCAATTAGTTATTACATCAACTTATAAATCAATTAAACAATTTTAATATTTTGTTACTTTGAGTTAAATTTGATATAATTAAACTGAATAAATCAATCACGTATTTGCATTAAAACCGCTCGGCGGTTTGTTAGAAAGCAATAAGTAGAGTAGTTATGTACACGTTCTTTTTTTTTTTAATTCTTTTAACATATCTTTTCTCGTCTCGATGGCATCTTATACGAAGTATAATATACATACAACTATATTTATATTTATATATATATTTACTTCTTATTGTAAGTTGAAATAAAAAAAATTAATTATATAATAAAGAAATAAATTGTTTTTTTCTTTTCTTTTTTACTATTATTACCAATTTACAAAACTTGTAAATAATATATATATTTCTTTTTTTTTTTCATTCAGCATTTTTGTCATGAATATCTTCATGAATTGCATTTAAAAATAATCACTGATGTAATTAAGAAAAAAAGATTAATGTCTATGTTTTTTTTTTGTTTGTTTTTTAACTTTTTTGCGGTCGAGCGTTAGTTTAAACATTCTATTATGCGTTATGAAAATTTTAATTAATTAATTATTTTTATTGCATTAAAAAAAAAATCTGTCACTACACGCTTCAGTTGATACTTTCTTCGCCATCGATGCTTTCGTCCTGAGTTGTTGAGTCATCACCAGAACCACCTGTTTGTACGCTTCCACGTTTAGTTAATCTTGATGAGCTTAAACCAATTGTTGCTCCACCTCCTCGTCTAAAATTAAATAAATAAAAAATTATAAAAATTTATAAATTCAATAAACCCACTATATAAAAAAAAAGGTTCCATGATTTTTGATCCTCCGACAAAATATCTTAAATAATTAAATTTTTATACTGATAGAAGGAGTCGTTTGTAAAATTAGTCGCAAATAATAAATGATATTAATGAAATTAGCGAAATGGAAATTTCACCAAATATAAATTGTCATTTATAAAGTAGCGAAAAATAAAAATTTGTGGCTACGTGAATTTAGTCAATTCTTACTGCAGAAACTTATAAAATTAGCCGATTGTAAACTTTACGAATTGTAAAATTAGCCGTTTTTAAACTTCTTATAACTTTTGAATGGGTCGGTCGAATATGCTTTAATTTTCAGAAAAACTAAATTTATGGAAGTCCTTTTAGATGCCTCAAATCGTTTTTTGATCCGTCGATCCGTTCAAGAATTACTGCAGAAACTTATAAAATTAGCCGATTGTAAACTTTACGAATTGTAAAATTAGCCGTTTTTAAACTTCTTATAACTTTTGAATGGGTCGGTCGAATATGCTTTAATTTTCAGAAAAACTAAATTTATGGAAGTCCTTTTAGATGCCTCAAATCGTTTTTTGATCCGTCGATCCGTTCAAGAATTACGAAATATTTAGGAACGGCTAATTTTAAAATTCATAAAGTTTACAATCGGCTAATTTTAGGGCCAGTTTTTCAATCCAAGATAAAATTTTATCTAGGATAAAATTATTATTACCAGTATATTTATAATATATATGAAATATATAGATATATTTTGTCATTGGATAAAATTTTATCCTGGATTGAAAAACTGGCCCTTATAAGTTTCTGCAGTAAGAATTAGCTAAATTCACCTAGCCACAGATTTTTGTTTTTTGCTATTTTATAAATGACTGAATTTATATTTGGTGAAATTTCTATTTCGTTAATTTCATTTTTTATTTATGACTAATTTTACAAATTACATTATCAACTAATTTTTAAATTTAGAGTTAATAAACGTTCTAATTTACAAATTGTTATTTTCCAGTAATATTAAAAACATACTGAAATTAATGAGCACGATTGTACGTATACATATTTTTATTTTCAAATTGTATTTTGTTTTATTTTAAAATTATTATTTAATTTGTTTTTAGAATTAATAATATTTACTAGATTTATTCTTTACGTCGCTATACTGAACTTTGATAAAAAAAAAAAAACATGACGCGTAACCGAAAATCGTGACGATTTTTTTTTACATTACTAAAAAATTTTTCTCATACGTCAATAAAGAAGTTTTGTTTAAGAAAAAAAAAAAAATAAAAATTACCTGAGTTTGTTTTTAAGATTAGCAACTTCACGAGATAAATTTTCATGTGACTCAATCATTTCGTCCATTTCCCTTTGGGCCTTGCGTTTTAGAACCTTGTGCCTGCTGAGCTCTTCCTCAGTCTCATCCAACTGTCTCTTGAGAGTCTTGACGCGAGCGTTAGCCTTTTCGACTTGCTCCTTATACTGATCAGCGTTTCTCCTCTCGTCTTCAAGCTGCAAGCTCAACTCCTTCAGCTTCTTGTCGAGCTTCCTATTAATCTTCTGCTGAGCGAATCGTTCCTTAGCCTCTGTTTCCAGCTGCTCGTCCAAATTACTGATCTTCGACTCAAGTGCCTGAATAGTAGCCTTGGTTTTCGCACGCTGAGCCGTCTCGAGTTCCGCGAGTTTCGCCTTCAACTCCTTGTTCTGTCTCTCAAGCAACATTCTTGAAGATTCAAGTTTTTGAGTGCTCGAGCGTTCGGTCGCCAAGTCAGTAGTCAGCTGCTCTATCGTGATCTGTCCTTTTCTCGCGCGGTCAACAAATATTTCGCTGTTAGATTGCTCCTCCTCGAGTTCTTCTTCCAGCGTCGCGATTCTCGCCTCAAGCCGCCGTTTTTCGTCAAGCATCAGCGTGCCCTTATTCGCGTTATTATTCACCTCTTCCTGGAGCTCATCTCGTTCGTTTTCAGCCGTACGTCTAGCACGTTCGCTGCTAGCCAGATCTTCAGTAAGTTGGAGTAAATCAGCCTCAAGACTCTTCACCTTCTTCTCAGTTTCTTTAGCACTGGCCGCCAGCTCATCACGAGCAGCACGCGCCTCCTCTGTTTCTCTAGTGCAATCCTTAATCTGCGCCTGCAATTTTTTCAGCTGCTTCAAAGCGTCTTCCTTAACCTTATTATGCATCTCCAGCTGCTGTTCAACGTCTTTGTAATCAGCCTCCAACTTTTTGCGAGCAGCAATAGCAGCTGCGCGTTGTTTCCTCTCATCTTCGAGCTCTGCTTCAATATCACGCAACTGTTTAACAAGTCCTCTGCGTTTTTCTTCAGCCTGCTCCTCTTTGGCCTGGAGATCCCGCTCGAATTGGGTTCTCAGCGCCTGCATGTTAACTTCCAGACGCAACTTAGCGTCTTCAGTGAACTGAAGCTCGTCCTCGAGCTCCTCGACTTGCGAGCGCTGTTCTGCCAACTGGGATTCAAGTGCTCGCTTAGCTTTCTCCAACTCATGAACATTTTTATCAGCAGTACCCTGATTATTAACCAGCTCATCAAGTTCAGCCTGAAGACCGCGACGTCCGCGTTCAAGCTCTTCAACTTTCTCATTGAGCTCATCCAATTCACGAGTCAAAGACAACACTTTAGTTTCCTTCTCACGCGCTTCTCGTTCAGCAGCATCACGTTGCTCGGCGTACTGCTCAGAAACAGCCTTTTCTTCAGCCAAAACTTTGTCAAAGTTTTTCTGTTTCTTCTCCAACTCAATAACTTTAGATCTCTGGACTTCGAGTTCGATAGTCGAGTCTTCTAACTCCGCCTGAATTTTCTTCTTTGATTTATCCAGTTTATCATTAGCAGCTTGAAGCTCTTCCACTTGTCTCTGCAGAGCTTCAAGATCTTTCATGCAGCGTTTCCTAGCCTCTTCAAGCACTATCGCAGCTTCAGCCTCTTCATCTCCACGCTTCTTAGCCTCTGCCAACTGAATAGTCAACGCAACCAATTGTTTATCAAGCGCGCGCTTAGCTTCTTCTTCTTCCTCTAATTGATCATGCAAGCTCTCCTTTTCACTCTCAAGAGCACGGAGTTTTGAGCTCAACGCCAATTTCTGTCTCGTCTCTTCCTCCAACTGCTGTTGTAATTCAGTAAACTGGGATTCACAAGTAGCAGAAGCTTTAACCGCTGCAGAAGCTTTCAATTCAGAGGCCTCCAACTGCTGGGAAATAGTCTCAGCTTCCGTCTGAAGTTTGATAACCCGTTCAGCCAGCTCTTGCTTAACACGGTCAACTTCTGCAAGCTTAGCATTGAGTTCAACGAGCTGCTGCTCAGCCTGTTTACGCCGTCGATCTGATTCCTGTCTACTAGCACTAACAGATCTTAATTCAGTAGCCAAGTCAGCATTTTCAGCCTCCAGAGCGCCTTTAGCCTTCTCAAGCGCAGCTTTGGCTTTCTTCAGAGCGTCCATCTGTTCATTGATAGCTGTCAGTTCTTGCGTGTGTTTGTGACGCATGTCAGAGAGAGTACCCTCGTGGACTGAAGTCTCTTCCTCTAAGTTTTTCTTCAGCGTAGCTAACTCCTGCTCGCGCTTGCTTCTCAACTCCTGTTGGGCCGCAGTAGTATCCAATGAATCCAACAATTCATTTTTCAGAGCCTCCAGTTCCTCGTTCAAATCACGTTTAAGCTTCTCGGCTTTACTTCTTGCAGCTTTCTCCGCCTCGAGGTCCTCTTGGAGCTCTGCTAACTGTGACTCCAACTCTCTGAGAGCCTTTTGGGCCTGAGCTTTAGCAGCAGCTTCCTCGTCAACTTTCAGCATCACCTGGTTAAGTTCTTCTTCACGTTTTCCCAACTGGAGTTGAAGTTCTTCTACCTGGACTTTTCTCTCGCCCAACTGGTCTTTAAGATCAGAAACTTCAGTCTCGACTTTTCGTTTCGAGCGGTCAACTTCTTGTCTCTGTTGATGATCTTTCAACAATCTTTCCTCTAAATCAGCAATCGTGGCTTCGTGCTTAGCCTTAAGTTTAGCTAAATGCTTGGCTTTTTCTTCCTCCTCAGCCAAAGTCTGCGACAAGTCATTAGCTCTTTCTTCCAGCAACTTTTTCTCTTTCAACAACTTTTGATTTGTATCATCCGATAAAGCCAAATCTTCTTCCAATTTTTTAATCTTAGCATCACACTGGACTTTTTCCAACTGCAATTTTTGACGCGCCGCTTCTTCCTCTTCCAATTGTTCCTCCAAATCACTGATATTCAGCTGTAATTTTTTCTTTTCCTGATTCAAAGCATTGCTGCGTTCTTCTTCCTCTTCAATACGAACTTCCAAGTCATGTAAAATTTCTTCGAGCTCCTGTTTGCGTGTAGCCAATCGCAAGCGCATTTCTTCAGCCTCTGCACATAATTCAACTTCAGCTTGCAATTGCTCGGCAAGCATCGTTTTCTCTTCCAATGCTTGCTGGTATTTACGTTCATACTCCTGCGCTGAGTTTAGCTGCATCTCCAATTTATCGCGAACTTGCTTCAATTCATCCTCCTTTTGCGTTAATTTTTCTTCCTGCTTGGTAACCTCCAACAGTGGCTTAACTTTGGTGTAGAGTCGCCACCACTGCCAATTACGTAGTTTCAAGTAAGCCGCGCAATTACGCTGTATAATACGAATAGCATTCAATTGCTGAAGACGCTTTTGGTAATTCCGTCTAGCAAGGAAACCACGACAGAACGCCTGGAAGTTAACAATTAAATCTGTTATCTTGTAATCACGTTCTTCTTCAAGATGCGCTAAAACACCAGCACGGAAGAAAATTTTTGACTGTCCTACACGGTACAAATTTGGGTCAAGTTCCAAAGCTTGGATCATTTTCTCACATGCTTTTTTACCATCCATGAAACCCTTTGGAATAACATTGGGCGTGAGTAATTCATACCGCTGACGGAATTCTTGGAACGGAATACGATTAGGGAATCCTTGCCGGCAAATACGTATTCCCTCGAGGACACCATTGCATCTTAATTGATCTAGCACCAACGGAGCGTCTATTTTACCCGCCCGTTTTTCGTGATTTGGAATAATACAACGTACAAAGTTAGGATTTGTATTGCGCAAGGTGACCATAAGTTTAGCCAACTGTTCTTTGTACAACTGCGACACTGTACGGAACATTCCTTTACGCGTTCTCGCACCAAATTGCGTGTCAGTTAATGCTTGCTGAGCCATACCGACAATTTCTGCGTCTTTCCATATGTGACAGACGAATGGATCCTGCGAGGCTTGCAATAAACTTACAATATTTTCATTAAGCGGGTCCATGTTCTTCATCAACCATTTAGCTGCCGAGTAATCAACTTTTCCGGCGTAATGAATAATCGCAAAGTCAGCGACTCCACGGAAGTCTGTTTTCATGAATTTTGGGTGAACGCTGTGAGCGCTGACCAGCTTTTCGACAAAAGTTTTGTCAGTGGCTTTTGGAAACCAACATTCTTCGTCCAGCAGGGCCATAACTCCCATTGGTTTGTCAATCAAGTCTATTGTTGGCTGCAAATCGAGACCAAAGTCGATGAATTTCCACTCAATACCTTCGCGCTGGTACTCTTCTTGCTCTAAAATGAACATCGTGTGGTTAAAAAGCTGCTGAAGTTTTTCATTAGTGTAATTAATACACAGTTGCTCGAAAGAATTTAATTCGAATATTTCAAATCCAGCCATATCGAGAATTCCGATGAAACTGGCGCCCTGACGTTTGGTGCGGTCTAGCGAGCGATTTATCCGATTGACCAGCCAGCGGAACATACGCTCGTAACAGGCCTTTGATATTGCTTCGACGGCAAACTCGACTTGTTCCTTTGTCTGGGCTTTGGTCACAAAATCACGGCCTACTTTGATGCGTGGTTTGAGGAAGGCTTTTGTCATTTCAGTAACACTCAGTCCCAGAAGATGAGAGATCTTTTGAGCGACTGTGTTGTCTGGGAGAGTTGCCTGGTCAGAGTTACGCTCCTGACGGAATTGCATCGACCCGAAGAGCATCACAGCCGATACAATACGGAATATTGATGAGAAATCTTCATTAGTCATACCCATTATGTGCATTGATTTAACGGTCGATGAAAATTCAGATGCGTCATCAACGCCGGGCACTGGCAGCGCGCCATTCGACAGGAATGGATACAGTTTTGGATCTTCCAATATAAATTCTTTCTTTTGTTCTGGTGACGCGCCAGCAAGTAACTGATAAAATATATGAAACGTTCTTTCTTCCTTTGCTTGACGTATCGCTCGTGATTTTTCCAGTAGATATGTCTCGATATTTGCTCCGGCTATGTAACCACTTGCGTCGAAATTTATTCTGATAAATTTACCCTGAAATAAAAATAATAATTTAATAAAATATTTTTATTTTAACTTTTTATTTAAAAAATATATTAATAAAATACTTACGAATCTTGAAGAATTGTCATTTTTAACTGTCTTAGCATTACCAAATGCCTCCAAAATAGGATTCGCCTGCAGAAGTTGTTGTTCCAATTCACCCTAAATAAAGTAAAGAAAAATTAATATAAAATTAAAAAAAAAATCTTACATAAAAAAAGTCACAGATAATCGCAAGTTACAAAATATTTATCACTTTTCATTTTCTAGAAAAAAAATTGACATCATCGAGCAAAGAAAATTATCAGACACACCTTCGTATTGCGATAATTTAAAAATAAAAATTTTTAATATTTCAATATCAATATCAGAACTTATGATTATCGTGACTCATTTTTTTAAAATAATAATATGCAGACAATGCGTAGATGAAAAAATAAATGAAAAAAAATTGATCCAAATAACTCAAAGGTCATTGATCCAAATGAATGCAAAGGTCATTAATTTATCAAATTAAAAAATTTTTTTTCGACAATTTATATAATGCGTTAAATATATATGAATATCATGCCATTAAAAATAATTATTTTTAATAAAAAATTCGAAAATGCGAGTACACCAAAAAATGTAATATTTACCGCAAATTTCTCCATAGTATTTCCAGTCCCCTGGATCCGCAGGTAAAAAAATATTTAAGCATTTTGTTAGTCAATCATTCAATTAGCTTATTATTATAAATTAATTGAGGCATATTTTTAATTATAGATGATAGTAGTTAATATTTTAATCTCTAAATGTAGCATTTTAAATGAACAAGCAATTTGGAAGAAACTTAAACTAACATACAAAAAACAAAAGCATATTTTAAAAGTTTGATTTAATACTTTGCAGTTTAACTTACTATTATTAATGCTGGACTTGGGGTCTATTGATGTAGCAGCAAAATCAGCACCGAAAATGAAAGGTTACAATCTTATTAATTACATATTTTTTTATCTAGCAGCAGTATAATTTTTATGCTAATTAAAGTGATTGATTATTAATTTTTTCGAAAAATAATAACTTTTTATATTAAAATAAAAATTTTTTAAATTACTAAGCTCAAAATTTTCTAAACTAAATTTTTTTTAATAACAATATTTATAATAAGCACAATTATTTGTTGAAAAATTAACTACTGAGTACACTAAAAAAAGTCCTCAGCTAATTGATTAAATACAATAATAATAATTGTATGAAATAAAAAAATTCCGGCTAAATGATAGTAATTGAATGTAAAAGTTTTAATAAATAAGTTAATAAATTTGTCAGCGGTAATTACAGTGTAGTGAACATATGAAAATAAATAGTTGTTAAGGAAGGGAGAGAGAAATGAAATGGAACGAATGGGACGTATCGAGATTCTTGACCTGGATCAATCACGATGAATAGCGAGAGCGATCGGATGACGCGACTGTCGATCGATTGCGAAATATATACGGGTGGGTTCATGATCCGATTGATCATGCTATGGCCATAAACTGTTTGATATACTAAAGTTAATGTGCAAAGTTACAGAGAATCGATTCCTTATAAAGGTTTTTATTTTATTTCAAACAGCTTTTATTTAATTTGTTTTGTTTAAAATTATTTAAACTTTATTTTCATTGCGACAAATTAAATACCATTGAGTTTATAGGACGAGTTGGAAGCAATCAAGGCTAGCGCCAAATACGGTAATTTCAGCTTGGATCATTAAACAGTTAATTTCACAATTTAAATTAGTCCTTAAATGTTGGCGTTATGAATCACGGTTGTACTTTCGTCGCTCCACGTCATTATATTATGGAAATTGTGGGTTAATAATAAAAATAATATAATATGGGAGGGAAAAGAGAAAGAAAAAGAAAAAAAGAGTAATTTATATTTAGGATGTGGTTAACGAGATTTCCGATGATAAATTTATTATTCTTAAAATATGTCTGCTGTTTTATTTACGATTTGAATTTTTTTTTTATTTATAATCACTGTGTCAATCTCAATAAATGCTTCTTTTTTTTCTTATTAAGTGAGTTATAAGATACAGATAAAGATTTAAGAATAAATAACTGTAATTTTTTCTTTAATAAAATATAACTTTATTTTTAATGTCAAGATTAATTTTTATTTTTTATTTGATAAGCTCGCGGCTGTAGAAAATTTTATGATTATATTTATGAGTTATGTTTTTTATTTCTTTTTTACTTAATTCATTGTTGTGATTGTGATTGTGATTATTGAGCAACTTTGTAAAAAGTATGTTATAACTTACGGCGTTTGATTTAGGTTTTGAAGCAGCTACGTAAGCTAGATACTGAATAACTTTCTTTGTATTTTCTGTTTTGCCAGCTCCGGATTCACCAGTACATAATATGGATTGATCTTCACGATCTGTTGAATAAAATAAATATTATTAGTACAAAAAAAAAATCATAAACAATAATCTCTTGAATAAAAATATTATAAAAGTAAAAAATATTCCGTAATAAAAATTTTTTGTTACAATTAATAAAATATTACTCACACTGAAATAATATTTTTTGTTAATTTATTTATTTATTTATTTATTCAGTGGTCGAATAATTATTTTCGATTTAATCGTAATTGAATCAGTCTGGTTTAAAAACAACCGTTTGTGCATTATACGTACACACACATATAGGTTGCTTTTTATTAAAGACAACGAAGAGAGGAAATTGTAGATGATAATTCGAGCAAGGCTGAACTACACAGCTGCAAGTAAGCAATCCTACGCGAAATAATGTTTATTCTTACAATTACGAAATGTAAGACCAATAAATCAACAAATATTGCTAGCTATATATTCTATTTTTGATATTTATTTATTCAATCTATTTTTATTCCAGTTAAAATTTAAAACTTTAGTCAACTGAATTTTACCGAAAATATTTTTTATAAAGTTTTGCTTATGGTTTTATTGCTGAGTAATCAGTTACATTAGTGTTGCCATTCCAAATGTCTTGAGTTTCTCTGTTTAGTCGCCGGAGGAAAGTAAATTTACGCTATTTAATTGCATACAAAAATACTCTAATACCGTTTTATTGCTGCTAGCATTAAATCTTGCTTTCAAATTATATACTTACAGAATCAAATTACCGACTAGATAACAAAATTTACAATCTTTTTTAAATCAATTTTCTTTAGTATCAATGAAAATTCATATAATTCTTATAATTTTCGAACAGAAAATTTTTTTCTTAAAATTTTTTGCAACGGGTGTGGTATATGCCGAGATTTTTTAAATTAATATAATTTTTTTCCTTAGTTTGATATAACAAATAAATTTTAATATTAAGGAAAAATTGTATCAATATTTTTTTTTTTAATTTCTCCAAGTAGCATTTTTTGATAAATGTTTTCTACAATAATTTATTTATTATTAGATCCTAAAAATTACCACATTCATTTAAAAAATCTCTAAATACGCATTTTGTAAATTTTTAAACGAATAAATATTTTTCATTTTTATGTAAGAAAAGAAATAAAGAATTTACTCCGTGGAGATTTTTTTTTATTAATGTATCAATGTTAATACTTTATTTATTCTTTTTTTTTTTTTTTTTCTTAAATCGAATGTCAAGCGCTTACGATTTGAAGTTAAGGTTGTGTAGAGATAAACTATGTAGAGATTTAAAATTTGAGAAATATTCTTGTATATATATATATATATATATATATTCTGTTTATTATTTTTATTATGTGTGTAGTGATGCCGCGGTCTAGAATTAATTTTGTATAGAGATTTTTCTATGTGAAAAGAAACGTATTAACTTGTATAGAGATACATTTTGTGAGTTTTCAAAATGGAAACAAATTCTGTGTAGGCATGCACCACACCCTTTTGCAACAATTTATAAAACCTTAATTAATATAAATTGTTTTTCTATTTCGTAAGTCTTGTTTAAAAACAAGATTTATACTCGGGCCAATAATAATAATTTTCACAAATATTTCAAAAAAATTTCAAGGTAATCTTTGTAATATTAAAAATAGCAGATACTTGAGTATTTTTAAACAATAAAAATTAAGTCATTTTTAAACAATAAAAAAATGCAAATAAAATTTTTGAAATTTATACGTGCGTATTTTAACAAATGCACTTAATAATATGTAATTTATTCATAAAACCACAAAAAATTTTTGCTGTCTGCTATTCTTAGTATCATTAAATTCATTTCCTCTAAAAAATAACTCCTTCGAATTTATATTGGCAACCTTCGAACTCTTAGCTTGATTAAACCAGCGAAACCCAATCAGCAATAAAGCCATAATAAGAAACAAATACCTGTAATTTAATAGAAAACGAATGTTATTAAAAAATTAATAAAATAATTAAATAAATGATATTTGTGAAGAAATAAAGGATGGTTAAGTTAAATTTACCTTGTAACATAGAACGGTAGGCAGTGTCGGTGATGGCGAAAACGTGAGGAGGTACTTCGTGTCTTTTTATACCCTTATACCGTTCCATTATTTTCTCTGTATAAATCGGTAACCTTTTGTAAGGATTAACGACTACACAAAACAGCCCAGAGTATGTCTGAAAAAAAAAAAAAAAAAAGTATTAATTAATATTTTATAAATAACTATGTATAATATTATATTTAAATAACTTTCAATTTCATTTTTTGATGTGCTAATTCAGAGTTTCATCTATTTGCCTCTTCATAATTATATTCAAGGAAATGAGTTAATAAAATACTGATAATAATAATTATAATTAAGTGGATTCATTATTTATAAAACTAATGGTTTAATTAAAGCGTCAGATTATAAGCATAATTAATCGCATGAAATTTTTTCGAGATAATCGCGATACTGTTGTATAGAACGGACTTACTAATAATGATGTTTAACCAGATCATATATTATATCTATGCAAAAAAGTGAAACAGGATTTTGATACCGTAAATTAAAAAAAAAAACACATGGTAATTTTTCTGTGAAGTAAATTATAAACTTCCACGATTTTTTGAGAGAATTCATTCTTTATTCTTAAACTGGCTGGCTTAGCTCAGTGTGATGTGTAATGGTCAAAGATATGAAAACAAGACAAGAATTACACATACAAGTTTCATTTTGTCTAAAATATTTGAACTAAAGTACATAATGTTTTGAAGTTTAAATAAAAAAAATAAAAGAGAATAGAAAATAAGGGAAAGTTTTAGAGTGCAGACGTTTCATTGATATTTATATTTACAGTACCTCTTTCATTTTTTCAGCAGAACATATATTTTTGCTTTTTTTCTCCTCATCTTTCTTTTATTTCCACGCTCGTCAATTTTCCAGATTGGCTTGATGCAACTAGACTGCGTTATGTTATGTTATACATTACTCGAATCCGTACAGAGTCATGAACGCATAGCAAGGGCGTGAAAAAATCCTGCTAAATTTTTCAACATATATTTGTATTGTACTTGTTGTATGTACCAGTAGTATGTAGTATGTCGGGAGTAAAGCATAAAGAAAAGAAAAAGAGAACCAGCATGTACGAAAGTAAGTACTCAGTCTGGTCTGAGAAATTTTATGGACGTATGATTCGTCAGGAGGTGGAGCGTACACGCAACTTGCAAATGGGAAAGTAGTGGAATGTCAGATCAATGACGTCATGTGAGCATACATGCATATTAATTTTTTATATATAGATTAAATATCCTTTTAAATTCAATTTCTCGGTTTAACTTCCTAATTTTTGCTTTTTATCGCCCGGTTTACTTTATTTTATTTGCTGCGTTGGAAGTTTTTTAGCTTTTGGCTTTTCCACTTTTACCACCCAAGACCATAAATCTGCATAGCGCATCAAGACGCTTACCTTGACGAGCGTACACACATGGCCGAGCTTTGAAATACTTATGAATGCATTTTCAGAATTATTTTTGAATTTGGTAATTATTTATAATTAATATTAATTGAGGATTTAACGATGTGTTTATTTGACTCTTAAATTATTTTAATTAAACAAAAATATTTAATGTATACAGTCAAAATTTTTTTAACCTTAGTGTTAATTTTTATTATATTTTTTATTTGTCAGAATGTTTTTAAAGATAAAAAAAAAATTTTATTCAATTATTTACAAATTAAATGATTAATAAAAAAAAATTAATTTTCTTTGATTTATAATTTATAAAGAGAAAATTAAAAAAATTTCAACTAAAAAAAAATGTAAAAATTAATTTGTTTATTTAAAAAAATGTAATTTTTTTATAAATAAAAAAAATTTTTAAATTCTATTTTAAAAATCAAAAAACCTTGCAACTGAATTAAAATTACACGCTATAAGATGACTAATTACTCTTCTCTATTTTTATCCCAATCAGAATCAGAAAATAAATATCCTATTAAAAAAAAAAAAAATGAAAAAATGAACATAAATGCTCAATCATCAGAAATAAAAAGTTTTATCATTTATTACATTATTCATTAAAGCAAACATTCTTGAAATAGCTGGCAACTCTTTAACTGAACTAATAATTTATTTTATCAACTATCACACAGCCTAGATAAAGGAGGATATAAAAGTAACTGGAATCGATGACATTTTGAATTCCTCACAAATGAATCAGTAGTTAATTCAAGGGGAATTTAATCCATCAGATATAAATAAAATAAAAGGATATAAATATAAATATAAATAAATATAAGTATTGAGAAGTGTATATTTTTATTTAAACTTTTTATACTACTTGTATCCGCATTTTTGTTCGATGCTACTCAAGAGAATTATAAGTCTTGAGCCATCAAAGATCATCAGAGACCATAAAGTGTTACATGTTTCACAGAAGAAATCGTTAAATCTTTGCGTAATATATAATACTAATACGTTCGTATGTGTTATATGTTATATACATATCAACACTAATACTTGTATTACTGTATAATACCTCCAAATAATAAAAGAGAACTGGGTTCTTTTGCATCGTCATCACGATCGCTTCCTCACATCCATATCATGATTCATCCGATTGCTTTCCCCATATGTCAGTGTTATAAAGAAGTTAATAAATACTCTGGGCATTCGTCATATCAGACAATATCGCTTTCAACACAAATAAACTAAATCCCTTGTAAAATTTTAAATATTTATTAAAAATTCTTAACTTCCCGCTATGAAAAATCAATAATTTTTAAAAAATCAGGCAATAATTGGTTTCAGTGTTAGCGGTTTTCAAAAATCGAATTCTCATCAGATCTCTACGTTTTGAGATCCTAGGAAGCTATTCTGACCATTCCTATGAGGATGTCACTTATGTGTAACTCTCTGATAATTTTTGTAATAATTTTTAAACAAGTGTAACAATCAATATCAAAATCTAATCAGCTCTTAAACTCAAAAAACTACGTCGAAAAATATGTTGTGATAACAAATGAGTGTAGTTGAAGCAACAAATCCATTAGGTGCATTAACAAAATGTTTCAAGTTGTACTAACAAACCAGTTTGCTAAATCACAAAATCAATTTGTTGCTCCTAACAAAATCATTTTGTTGCTATCACAAAATGACTTTGTTGTTGCAACAAAATAATTTTGTTGCTGTTACAAAGTGATTTTTGTGGCAATAACAAAACTAATTTGTTGCCAAAATATTTTCCAAATCAGCTATATAGCTGATTATAGCGTATTTTTAAATGTATTCTTATAAAATTTACTGTAACAAATTTATTTGTTATTGCAACAAATTTTCATTGTTATTATTACAAATTCTCTCTATTACTTCAACAAATTGTCTTTGTTACTCCAACAAATCCTCTTTGTTATTTTAATAGAATAATTTTGCTATTTCAACAAAAAAAATTGTTATACCAACTAAAGTATTTTGTCGAATCAACTTAAAGATTTTGCTGTAGTAACAAAACTTTTTCAATGTTAACAAATTCATTTGTTATCATAACATATCTTAGGTTATCTTAACAAAATTTTTTTCTGCGTGTGTTTTTTTAGAATAACTCCGAAATTTCCTCTCAAATCGTTTTCGATGTAGTAAAATAACCATTAGTGCTTAAGAAACTGCATCGAACGCCACTAAAATGGTCAATCGGTCAATTCGTTCATGAGATATTCAACTTTTAAAAATTCCAAAAATAATGAATAATATTTTTTGGTGCTTGAAATACTGCGTCGAATGCTGTAAATTCCAAAAAAATGTGCTGTCAATATCCAGTAGATTTTCAAGCTCGAAAAAGTATATTATTTGTGTTTTTGAGCTCGAAGAGCTCAAAACTTCGGAATAGACAATTTCTTGAGCATTTTGAGCTCGTACATAGCGAGAAGTTCCACACAGATTTTTTTAATTGAACAAAGGCTTATACAAACACTGATAAAAAAAAAGTCAATTTGATTAAAATTAAAAAATTCCTGAACCAAGAAAAATTTACTCAAACTAAAAATACACAGTAAAAAATTTTTCGTCATTTTGTTAAGTGTAAAAATGTTTGTGTAGAATTTAACATTTTAGTATGTTGATTCAATACAAAGTCATTTTGTTAAGTGTAAAAATGTTTGTGTAGAATTTAACATTTTAGTATGTTGATTCAATACAAATTGTGTAAAAAAAATCATCAACACAAATTTTTGTGTTAAATTTGACGAAAAATTTTTTACTGTGTAATTTCTTGGCTCAAGATTTTTTTTTCTTCACTCAAGAAAATAATTTTCTTCAAAATGGTATTCTTAGTTCAAGATTTTTTCTCTTGAGTCAAGTTAACTTTTTTATGAATATATTATAATAATAAAAATTTTCTTTCCATTTATTCCTCAGTACAGCACAGGCTGAATTTATTTTTACTGATGGCGATAAACAGAACTTGATTAAAGTTAAAAGCTTCGGAGAATGGGCTGTAAATTTGCATGCAAGTGTTCTGTTGTCCAACTTCAGCTTCAGGTTCAAAAAGAGCTGACCAAAAACCTGAGAGCAAGACGGTAAGGTTCAACATTGTCTCGGTTCGTTATTATTATATTAACTATAGTTGTATATGTACGAGTGTCCGAAGGTCCCCAAAACCGGTCCCTCGGGGTCCTGTGTCGTCGACCTATTCGACATTCTTCGTTGGCTTACGTACATCTAACTGAGTAGAACTGAAAGTCCCCCCAGCGTTAATAAAAAAGCTGAGAAAAAATAATAATAAAAACTTATGGGCTCTCTTCTTGTGAAACCGTTTTTTATTTATTTTTGTTGCTGGAGCTTTCTTATTTTTTTCTTTACGAGGATTATATCCTATCGGTTGGTTTTCTTTTAATTCTGGGTGGGTACAAACAGATCCAGCACGCACTGTATAAAGTTTTTTTTGTTGTTGTAATTATAATTATAATTATTATTTACTAGCAAACCTGACATTTAAAAGTGTATGTAGTAATTTGTCTGTTGAAAAGTTTACAATGTTTTTAGTGAGAATCAGAAAAACAGATCAAGATTTCTGATTTATTTATCTTATAGACAAAATTTAATTTGAAATTAATTATAATGTTATCGTGAAGATAAACGACTCAATTAAGTAGGAAATTAATTGGAAAGATTATAGAATCTTTATAACATAATTTCTTAA